TAATTTGGACGTGAATAGACTGTTGTAAATACAGGAGTCGAGATTTTCTGTATTTTATTGTTGTTTTTCGATGTGGCTGAGGTTGTTGGGTTGTTTTTTCAGAGGTTCTCTTTTGTAATTAATTTTTATGCTTATAGGTTATGGAGTTGCATTACGATACGTAAAAAGTATAGGTGTTCAGGGAGTTAGAGACGTTTGAGGGCTTCGAATCTGAACGCAATTACCCTAAAAACAAGCTATTTCCGCGGGCGTAACGATAATGAGCACCTACCCGTGGAGTGCGGCCATTTTTATTGTTATTAGCTTTCTGTGTCCCGTTATGCACCCTGGTGTGCAGTTGCTGTATATTTTCTGGTTCATTCTGGGGATTTTATTAACGAACACCTTGTATTTGGTGGGATATGTGGGTGGAGGATAGATAATGTGTCGTTTCAGGGGTACCTGGCTTCAGTAATTACGAAATTATTGATTTCGTACTTGCTTCCATACCATTTCTGAGTGGTATGTTCATCAAACTAGCTCAAACCATTCGTCAAACATATTAAAACAGTATCAAACAGTCTCAAATGATTAAAAACATTTCCTAATTGTATTGAACAATTTCATTCACTGAATTCCATCATATAACACAGTTCCTTAAAATGAATTTGATAATTAATAAGTAAGAAGACTTTTTAGTATACACGTAAGAAGAACTTCATATGGTTATTCAATACTATTTGTAAATATAAATGTTATTTTAAATAGTAAATATTTCACTGATAATATTCAAAAAATAATTAAAAAACAATTGATGAAATTAACATCACATTTCCTCCGAGAAAATAAATAAATGTTCAGAAAGATTCATGCCTCTGGCTGCGACGAGAAATATCTGGAAATGTGAATGGAATCGTGCCTCGCGTAAGAGGTCGGATTTATAGGGGCGGCAGAGGGATGAAGGGGTGAAAGAGGTCACTAATGCAGCTAGTGTCACGAATTCTAGCTTCCATCGAATATTCAATATCGCAAGGCTCTCTGCCAGATCGAATCGAAGATTTATTTTCGTGGGCGTAACGATCAATCGTCGGATTAAACAAATAAAGAACGCAGCACACATGTTCATATAAAAAAAAATAAGTAGTCAAACTGCGAACACCGTGCAAGCAACGAAACCAATGATCTCATTTAAATTAACAAACGAATCCGTCCCTTTCCAGATCGAAAACTGTAAAATTTAATAACTTTCCGACTATGTTTAACTTGTAAATGCAATAACTAAAAGAAAAGGAGAACTGCGAGCTTCGACATATAAGGTGTCCTACAAACGACGATTCAACGAAGGCAGAAGTATCTTCATTTTCTAAAGCAATTATTTATTCTCCTCTGAAGGAACACTCCTTCGCAATTTTCTTGGAAATTCTAATTTCATCCGGCAAATTTTAATTTGCAGACCTTTGAGATCTGTAACGTCTATATCGGCAGTCCCTTTGAAGCTGAAATAATATTCCCGCTGAGAAAATTCGAAGACAATTTTTTCCCCGGAGCAAATTACATTCGATCGCGATTATTGTGCTTTCGAATGCTCAACGTTTACTGGGGTTTAATTGATTAGTGTTCAATTAACACGTTGAATGCCATGGCGGTCACCTGTGATCCTTAATCGAATCGAATTACTATAGTTCGCTTAATTAAACGATGATTTTTTAAACTCTTTTCTATATTACAAATAATGATATCTAATATATGTTCAAGTAGATCAACGTGCAATAATAATGGTGCCGTTCAATCAAATGATTTAACTCACCACTTGATTTCATACAGTACAACTATAAAATTTGATATTTAATACTGTACTTCGTAAAATACATCGACTTGAGAAATATTGAAATAAAATAACTTTGTTCCTCAATGTACATGTGATTTCTCTTCGAGTTTTACAAAATGTCGTCTTTATCTCATCAGAAAATATCAAAATATTTTTAGTGAAGAACTTCCGAGTGCAAAGTGTTAATATTATATTTCTTTCATTTTGTGTATATTGGTGTGTGGTATCGTGTAGCGTTCAACGTGTTAAACAAATGGTTAATCCATAGAAACAGAATTCAACGGCGAAATCCACACGCCTCGCAGTCATTACAAATTCGTTTGGCCCATGAAAATTGAACAGCGAGTCTATTAGGTAATATCGACGTCGCACGGCACGTTTGTTCCGTTAACGGATTACTTGAACGCCAAGTTACGAGGCACTCTCGAAGAGATTTGTACTAATGACGTTCATTAAGTATTCACGGTGATTTTCGCTGAGCGCGCTGCGGTTAATCAGCGAAATTCGAACGATTCCCATAATTGCGCGTGGATTATAGAATTTTAAGAAGCTTTATGGAAAACAGTGGCTGGCACGCTTTATTATTCTCAATGGGCATCCCCAAAAACTTGCCGGATAATTGCGAGTACGCACACTCGACTAATTTAATCAATTATTGTTGCACGCGAGCGTTAAATAAACCTGTCGCGCTATTAAACAAACATTTTAGTTTATCGAATCGAAATCGGACGAGCCTCGTCTGCAAATATTAATTGCAATTTTCTATAAGTGCGCTGTTCTATAATTGCACTTTTAAATCCTTGTTCAAGGTACATTGTTATGTCTAATATTGAAGTAGTGGGCGGTCCTAGCTCCTAATGGGCGTAACTCGGTTTACCTGACCAGTAGCGAGGATGTGGGCGGGGCTCAGTGTGGCGTGAGCAGCCAACGCTCGCGCTATCCCCACCATTTTATCGATTAACTGACCTACGTCACTGTGCTATAGACCAGTACGCAACGAAGTACAATAAGACAGTACTAAACTGGCAACTAATAAGACTATAGCAGTATCGTAAGCAAGTCTCTATATACTTACGCTACCGGTACCAATTAATATAACCATACAAAAGAAATATTTCACTGTAATAATCACGTTCTTATAAATAATAAATCTCCATAAAAATTCAACTAAATAGCATAACATTCATATCGATTGTACAATCAATTTAGAAATATTTTCGTTAGGAAACTAGTATTTCCAACGAATTTCTACGGTTCCCCATTGGCGATATAATGCATTATTTTTCAATTATTTCCCGGGTTCACGGCTAAAAGGATAACCGAGTATTTATCGAAAAGGTCGATGTAGTCGCGGCTGGTTCGATCCCAGCGTACCACCCGGAGGGGCGAGCGTACGAAATTTCGTGCTTGTATCGCACAACATTCGCAGTCGTGTACAGCAGCGAGCCGCGGGCTAATAATCGCGCACCGGCCTCCGCCGAACACCGGCGTCATTGTCATGCATTTTGCCGGGCGGAGTGGTCGAACGATTGCATTAATAATACCGGCCCACCCCCACACGTATATTTGTGCTGGTTAGCAGTTTCGTCATCGCGCCCGTGAATTGCCATTCAGCGACTGCGTTGGGGACCGTCCTGGCATTTCTTGCTGATGAGGGGATGTAAATCCCTCCACCTCACCCCCTCCCTCCCTCCCGTCCTGCGTGACGACGACTGTTTTCATTAATTCAGTTTGCGGGATGCTCAGGTTCATCGGAGGAGACCAGTTGGTCATTTCTAGTCAAATATTTTAACCCTTTGCGCTCGGAAGTCTTTAAATAGGAATATATATATATTCTTAAAATTATTAAACATATTGATATTATAAACAAAAGAACTAATGATTTAAAACGATTAATATATGAATCACCTATTATATAATCAATACTATAAAATATAACAACTCCAGTAATTATTATTACTGTACTTAAATAAATCAATGATGTATTCGTTTCTTTTTCCATTTGGGAACTCTCAGACCTTGCTGAGACTTAACCTTGAGGTGATAGGTCACTGAGCAATGAATAGGTGTCTGAGAGATGAACAGAGCTTGATCTACCTTTAACTGAGATCTTAGTGGAATCTAATTTTGACTACACTCTGTGAGAAATTGATATCATTTATCATGTAGATTGTGCTGGGAATTGTACATCAGTATTTAACGAAGCTGTGAAATGATTTCCATCGAAACGTCAATTAGTGAAGTGATACGTTATCAGCAAACAATGACCGTACATAGTACAATAAACTGGACATCGATGAAATTGTACTGAAGTATATTTAAACAACAAATGTTCATTATGAGCTCGCAGCTGGACTTGATTATGTGTTTATGTCATCGTTTGATTGTAATTTACGTGGGCAAGGAATTTATCTGCCTCGAAAAATCTACATTCAGCGCGTGTAATTTGATTTTTTTCGTTCGGTACTCGCAGCTGTAAATATCGCGATGTTTGATCAAATCATGGGAAATATATTAATGCATTTGCTCTGTTAATTTTTGCCGGTGGCCTTGGTAACTTGACGTCGAAACAGGCGATGGTAGAACGTCTCGCGGCACGTGATGAAAATCGGCGTGACTGCGCCGTAATTTTTTAATTACTCCCGCGATAGAAAGAGAGAGAGGGAGAGGAAGAGAGAGAGAGAGTTAATTAACGAAATTTGTTTATCCGGGCTGCACGGCGAAATTTGAGACGACGATGTAAAATATTTCTGCAATCTTGAGTGCTTTTAATTACGTTACTGTAAATAAAACGCTTAAAAACTGTTGCTTAAATAATATTTCGTTGAAGCTGCATTAACGAAACGCGAAAAACTGCTATTAAATACTGTGCACCGATTTACAACCTTTCACGAACTACTCGGTTGATATTAATTAAAGTAGCTTGAGTTTGCAGAGCATTTTAGTAACTCCATTTTTATACAACAATGTTCACAATCCATCAATAATTTTCATTTTCTCTCTTCATAATCATGAATGGTGTAAAAGAGAAATTATTTTCGTTGCATGCTTCGTTATAAGCTCGCTCGCGGTCCTGTACAGAGGCCTAGTATCGAGGTATCGGTCATTTTCATTGCTACGATATCAGAAATGATCCAATTTGTATATTTATGAGTTAGGTATGCTGACGAGATGGATTTTCTTTCTGTTGCAGATATTCACGCGGTTCGGCAAGGTCCTGAAAATCGTCACCTTCACCAAGAACAGTAAGTATACGGTCTCTGGCCCAGACCTTTCTAATACGGAGACAGTAGTCATGAAACTATCCTGTATAGACGCCACTCTCGCGAGCAGACATGCCACGGCACTTTAGTACTTCAGTGTGCTTGACGTGTACATTCCAGCCTGGCGACGTCGACGTCGACTGCGCGCAATTCGTGCCCGTCAGTACTTTCGGTATTGCGCTCGAGTGTTGCAAAGGGTGTCTCGAAAGCACCTGTTCTTAGGCTTCTATTTTTGAGCCGGAATAAAGGGCCACGGGAAACCTTTGGGCGGCGGCTGGTCGAATTTTTGACGGACACTGTTGTCGCTACGTGTCAAGAATTTGTTTCGGAATTGACAAACTTGATTGATGTCCGAGTACTGAGGAAATCAGTTAGGTAGCTAAATTAACACGTTGACTGCCACGATTCAAATTGCTTGAAGACAGTTATAAGAAAATTGCTATTGAATCAAAATATTCAGTAACAGAAGCTAGGTAACAGTTCAATATGAGCACTGTAATATTAAAACAGTAATAATTATTTCTAATACTATTTTCCTGTATTATAAAGGAATAAATCTTACTATAACGAAACCCTCGAAATTCTCGTGGCATTCAGTGCGTTAAATCTGAATCACGTTGTAGCGATGAGATGAAATGAAATATTTTGTTAAACTTTTGGATGTTAGTTCTGAGTTATTTTTGAGCATAGATTGATAGATTCTCGTGGTAGATCGAGTATCGTAGATTCTCAACAGCATTTGTCTTAATGTTATAGTTTGATAAAAAGAAATTCAACAATTTCCTCCTGTGTTTTTCATTTTCTATACGTAGCGCTGTGGCGTGTAGCATACACCGGAAGCCGGTAGAATCATCAAAGCAGTGGGACAATATACAAGCGGCAATTGTTTCGGGAAGTTCAAAGAAAGACGTTCAATTAAACCGACAGCTGCGCGAACAAAAGGACCAGCAGATTTTCAAAGAACAGCCAGACAAATAGTCGTTGATTGGCGAAATCAGAGAGGCATAGGTCCCAAATTGAAGCCAAGGCGCGCTCGCAGCGTCCAATTAAAGTTTCATTCGGTCAAGTGGCTGCTCGCCCATTCGATCTTCATATCCTTTTTCAACCTTTTCGCCGTGCGCCTGCCGATTCGATACCGTGCAATCTTGGCTTTTATTTTCGATATTGCTCACACAGCCTGCATTGCCTTGCAACCTGAATTTCGATCGACCTACTTTATTTATAATACAGAAACGTTTTCATATAATCATCGTTTCATTGAGTGAACTATAGTAATTCGATTTGGTCTGGGATCACCGGCGACCCCCATGACAGTCAACGTGTTAAAATTATAATCACTCTTCAACATTATTTTTCATTTTAGAAACCACTTATGAAGACAATCAAATTTTCCCTTACTGAAATTCTTTTTTGGAGATGTACATTTCTATAAATCCTCGGTTCAGTTATTACCATTGTTCTATTTTCCAAGAATAGCATTAAACCCAAGAAAGAATCTTAAATTATAATCGACCAGTTTCCCCGCAAAAGGCTCTCAAAGTTTCGACCAATGAAGCTCGACGCGTTCTGTGGGCGGGGCAAGTTGGCCGGCCCACCTGTCACGTGCCGCGCATATGACCGCCCGCCCAAGCGCCGCGTTAGTGTGCGTTTAACGTGGCGCGTTCCAGTTCGAAAAACATTTCACGAGGCAACACGTTTCTAAATTTTTATTTCACATTCCCGCGTGTTTCGTCCTCTTAGAAAATTCCCTCGTTACACAGCGAAGCTCTTCGCTTTAGTATGCACGGGTTGCAACGCGAAGAGAGATATTGTTGCGGAATCTTTTCGGCACGCGATTCCACGCGAGTAATTACCGGAGGAATTTTCATTGCGGATAAATCGTCCGCGTAAAATTGTGTTGAACGCTGACAGTACGGGGGAAATAAAAATGTGGAAAAACAGGGGAATAAAAAGGAGCAAGGAATCGACTCCGATCCGCCGTGAGCGTTTTCCATTGTGTTTATCAAAGATATCTCGGGGAGGAATTTCAATTTAAGAGGCGCAACGATTCTGTTCCTCTCTCGTTCCCTCTTTATCTCAATGTTGTACGCTCGTGCCTCAAATTAAAAACACACGCACAACTCCGGTTTCGTTTTGTTTTGTTTTCCTTTTTTTCTTCCGCTCTCTCGGCTTTCTCTCTTTCCCTCTGTATGCGAAATGCGCGGTGACCCCGGGGCCACCGGAGATTTGTATTTTTCATTTCATTTCATTTCATTTGGAACGCGCTGCTGAAGCGGATTCGCGCTCCGAGCGGCCGGCCCCGCCCACGCGCTCCGCGTTTCCGTCTTTGATCCGAAATTTGAAGAACGCGGTACAAGGTTGCTCGGGCGTTGTTCAATTCGCTGGGAAGGTACGCGCGTAGTTCTGATTTAATTTTATTTTCCGTCTCTTTGTTGCGTTTCGCTGGAATCCCGGAGACTTCGAAATTTTTGGGAATTTTCGAATTTCGCGCTGGGAGCCGTGCGATAGCAACATTATGCATTGTTCGTTTCATTTTCCCTTTGATTTCAAGCTTGTATATTATTTACGAAGCGCGTGTGCACTATTTTGTTACTCGATCGTCGCCGCGTCTGCTGAGAGTCTGAGAGTGGGGTCTGAGACACTTTGTCACATATTCTGCAAAATGTGACAATTCGTGGAGCACCAGTTTTCAATTATAACTATACTGTGCAGCCATGTATAAAAAACTTCGTTAATTTCAATCTACGTAAAGAACCCTTTTAACGCTGGATTCGCGGATATTTATTGTACAGTTTATTCATTTTATATATAAAAATGTATCATTAGGAACCATAATCACGTAATTGAATCAATGAAAATCCTAAACATTCACCAAATAAAGTTCGGAAAATTCAATATGAGTCTAATTGTTCCGTAAATCTAGTGTTAATAATTTACAAAAAATTAAAAAACAGATTTCTCATTACAAATTCATAAACTTTACATTAACAACTGTTGTAAAACATTGAATAGTCGAATTACAATCATTGCTCCAATTCTCATCATCCAAAAACCGCTGAAAAGACTCCAAAAATCATTCTCCAGTAGTATAACCCATTTCCAACTAGTCAGGCACGAAAGGTAATCAGTAAAAAATCACTTCCACATCGAGTATGTTATTACCCGTATGTACGAACGAGTCCAATCGTCTCGATAATAGAAATAAAATCCGAAAAAAGCCCTCGAACCATCC